GAGAGGATTCACCAGAGACAGAGTAGGGAGCAGAACAGGCAGATCAACTGAAATACACTGCTGAGGGGAGCAGCGGGCAGGTCAGGAGAGGGCTGCTGTGCCCTGTGGGTCATCTCCCTGGCTGGGGATTGAACTCGTGCCTCAGTGGCTACAGATAGCTTTGTAGTGCTGTGCTTTAACCCCTTGAGCCACCAGGGAGGGCCTTTTTTTCCACGATGGCTTGGCACCCCCAGGCTACTGTCTTGTGTAAAGGAGGACATTGGGTTGCACCAGGGAAAGATCAGTGAGGAAAGAAATATTTGGTTGCCGTCTTCACAGTCACTCTCAAGTCTGGCAGTGGATTTGTTCAGAAAGTTCTTGCCCTTAGACTATCTGAATGAGTCATGGGAGCAGGGAGGAATTTGTACCTTTGGATAACATTTTATGGAAGAATAAGTAGCCTCTTGGTGGATCCTGGGGACAAGACCTTCAAGAAGAGCCACTGAATCATAGAACATCAAATGTGGAAGGCAGCTTTGAAAGCATCCTGGGAAACTGAGGTCTAAAGCCAAGAAAATCCGTATGGCCATGAGGTAGCACAGGAGATTAGGCTCTGAGAGAAAGTAAAGGAAGTATTGGTGATCAGAGCCAGACTGGGCTAAAGTCAGGGAGCTACGAGAACTGGCCAGGTCAGGAACAGCCAACTGGCGCCCATGTCAATGTGGCGGCCAGTTGCATAGTCCTGAGGAAGGCTGTGAGTTCATGGCTAACCTCTCAGAAAAGTTGTTAAAGAGTTGATTTGTGATATCTGCCTTGGCACAGGACATGTGCATACTGTTTATTTACCCCTATGTAAAGTCAAGGTCAAGAATGCTCTGGAGGCCATGCCCAGGAGTTGGAACCTCTCAGGTGGAATTTGGAGGGATGATGAAGGTAGATCCTCGGTGATAAGGCAGTGGCCGGCCTGGTGTTCATGTTACTCATCCACCCTAAATTGCTTTGTTCTGGCCTTCTCTCTCATCATTCTGTCACACTGCTTGAAAATCCCAGTAATCTTGTGAAACACAAGCACACTTTATTTTATACAGAAAAACCTCAAAGCAAACGTCCTGGATCATCCTTCAAATTTTGCCTCTTGTGTTGATTGAAGTTGATTAGTCCTCATTGGGTCTCATCTTCCTCATGGGTCAGGTCAGAGACCTCAAAAGCATTCACCGACATTATAGTCATAGGATGGTAGCAGTTATTTTGTGGAATAAAATAAATTTCTGTCACAAGTTTCATCTGGAAAATTGCTGGATTTTAAAAACAGGTTTTTTTTGTGTTTTTTTTTTTTTAAACTGCAGTACTAAAAGAATAATTTACCTTAAAGAGTCTCAAGTAGGCAGTCCCCCACACTTACTTAAAAACAGAAAACTCACTATATGGGATATTCTAGACACGTCTTTCAGCTTCAAAATGCTGCGATTCTTCACCAGGTTTCTTTGAGAATATATGAAGAGAAGCATAGTCAGTGATAGACTTGTTTAGCTTTTTCCTACAGACGCTGAACACAGAGTTTAAGTGGCTCAAAGCAAGTGACAACCACGGGGGTCACCTATTTCATAGAACATTTGAAGATAAATAAATTGAAAAAGGGTGAAAACATTTGTATCTTAAGACCAGGTTAGTTGATTTCAGTTACTTTTATGATGCTATTGTGACAAAAACCAAGTAGCAAAATGCACAGCAAAACACTGTTGACTAGGGATTTGGGGGGACATAATTTTGTTGGCAGAGCTGCTGGGAGGTTTTCCATCTGAAAGTCTGGAGCAGCAAATTTGACTCAGCAAGCATCCTAAGCTGTGCGCTGAGTTTAGTTTTGCAGCCCAGCAGGGAGTGCATTTGCCATGATCACATACACACTGGCACAGTCTCCACATGTATGGTGGGGCTTTCAGTATCTGACCCTAAGTGGTTCTTCACACTGGAGAGATGTCCAGCCTGGGGCAACTCCAGCTGCCTGTGTCTGTCTTCAGACTATTTCAAATGAAGGCCTGGCTTTTTTTTTTTTTTTTTTTTTACGATCCAAAAGAGGCCACACCTGTTTGATCTATCTTTCTGCAAATCTGGTCACGGATGACTTCAAGCTCTCTATTGGAGTAGTTTTCATCAAAGACTAGTTCAGGGTCAGCAGTGGTTGTTAACCAGGGACATCATCAGAGTATACATGGCCCTACCCCAGGACGAGATCGAAAGTGGGTACAGGCATTTGTGTTTTCTAATTTTTTTAAAAAAAGGTTTGTTTATTTATGCAGGCAAGAACTGGGGTATAGGCCAGAGGTGCAGGGGCGGTGAGAGGATTCACCAGAGACAGAGCAGGGAGCAGAACAGGCTGATTGATGGATGACACTGCTGAGGGGAGCAGTGAGCAGGTGGAACAGGAGAGGTCTGCTGTGTCTTGTGGGTCGCCTCCCTGGCTGGGGATCAAACTCATGGTACAGATAGCTTCATGGTGTTGCACTACCAGGGAGGGCTCAGGAATCTGTAATTAAAAAACTCTGTAGAAACAATTCACAGGAAACTTGTTAACCAATGTGTGGTTTATTTGTAAAACTGAAAGCTACTCAGCCATCCAAAGGGGGGGTGGTGGTGGTGGGAACAACTTGTGTCCTGGACTGCAACTCAGATGAATCCTTTAGACCTTAGATTAAATGAAAAAAAGTCAGTCAATTAATAATATAGAATTAGATTGTAAATGCAGATTTCCATTCATATGAAGTTTGAAAATAAGCAGAGCTATTATATGGTGTTAAAATTAAAAACAGGGACCTCCCTGGTGGCACAATGGGTTAGGACGCAGCACTGTAAGCTAGCCTCAGCTGCTTCAGTGCAAGTTCAATCCCAGGCCCGTAGGTGACCCACAGGGCACGGCAGACCTCTCCTAATCTGCTCACTGCTCCCCTCAGCAGTGGACTTTGTCAATCTGCTTGTTCTGCTCTCAACTCTGTCTCCGGCGTTTCCTCTTACCGCCCCTGCACCTCTGGCTTGTACCCCAGTTCCGTATGAATAAATAAATCTTAAAAAATTAAAATAAAATAAAACAGTGTCTTCTTCTGATGTGGGAGGAACAGGAGTAGCAACAAAAGAGTACTAGGAATGTCCAGGGGGTGATGAAAATATTCTACAAAGGCTCATAGAATGTTACAGCAAATTGAACCCTTAAGAGATGTGTACTTTATTGTATGTAATTTATACCTTGTTTAAACAAAACAGCCTAACTCCCCAAATTAGAGTCTTGCACCTATGCCAGAGTCCTAAGAAATGATCATCTGTGCACAAAGGAAAGGCTGAATTGCAGCTCAATCCAGTTATGGTCTCAGGAAATGAAATGCTTCCCTGTTCTCTATGTTATATATCACACAATGCTCCATTTTCCTCTGCCTCCTGGAATTTCTCCCATGCTTTCTGACTTTTGGATTAATAAAATCCAGAGAACTCAGCATGCAGTAGCCAGCTTAATAATAAATCTGTAAGTTTTCAGAATTATGTCCCATTACCACCTCTATTTCAGTAGCTACATTTGTGTTTCTGGAAAGGCCATCTTGAATGGGCCTTGTGTTTATTGAACAGCTACTATGTTCTGGGTCTTGTTCGCTCTTTTACCAGTTATTCCAAATTCTGACAAATAGATAATTTTTTTCTTCTCCAATATTTCAAGATTAGTGATCAATCAAGGGAGATAAATAACCAGCCTAAAGGTGCCACTAGGCTGGGAAGTGGAGGATGCAGGGTTAGAATAGTGGTTGCGAAACTTACTAAAATGTAAGGCCTTTTCCCTTCTAAGGCCTTAGCGGAGAAAGGCAGAGATGGGCAGTGGAAGGAGAGACATGGTCAAATATAAATGGTTAAAGGTCACTTGACTATGCTTTTCACACCCAGTTGCCAGAATCAAGACAGCCAGGCCCCCCACACTGAGGCAGTCCCATGCTCTCTGGCTCACCCCTGCTGGTAGCTTAGAAGTGTCAACCTCAGGGCGACTTTTGTTTAGTATAACTTAGAAAACAAGAAGGAAGCAAGAGCGCATATAGAGACGTCTTCAGTTTTGGAATTCTGGCTCCCTGAGATCAGAGGAGTGGGTTCCCATGTGGGGGTGGCAAGGCACAGAGAGAAGCATTGGAGCAGATTCTGTGTGTGTATGCATGTGTGTGTGTGTGTGTTGGCGCGCCTGTGCGTGGAGGGGAGATTGCTGTACCCAGCGCAAGGCACTGGGGGAGGAGGAAGCGGTAGCGGAGATCTGAATAATTGATTCTTCAGCCGCACCAGACGCTCTGGAGCGGGCGGTGAGCGTGGTTTCAGCACCACGGACAGCGGCGCACACCGCCGCAGGCGCCCCCGCCGCCAGCAAGCCACCTAGTCTGGCCTTGTCGTCGCCGTGCGCTTTGGGAGCGGTGGCCGCGCTCCGCGCCACCGCCGAAGGACTGCGGGGTCTGCCGCGGCCCGCCTCGGGGGAGGACGGCTGCGGGCGGGAGACGTTTCGTACGCCGGAGCTCCGAACCTCCCCGGCTTTCGCGGGGGCTGCTGCTGCGTCTCGTCGGCTGAGAACAAGTCCCTAAGTTGGCGTGGGGGCGCCCCTGCCTTCCTCCTCCTCTTCCTCCGAGGCGACCGCAGCAGAAGCAAGCCCCGGGAATCGGCTTTGCCAGAGCTGGGAAACCGGGGTGGCCAGGCGCTCTCCAGACTCGCGCTGGGAAGTGGGGAGCTGAACGCCCAGCGCCGAGCTGGCCCCGCAGCCAAGGGCCCTGAGGGAGCTGCCTAACCCCCGCCCGCGCTTTTCTCGGCCGGGGACCGCGGGGATCCCCGGCCACACGCGCGCGCGCGTCCCCACACTCCTCATACACTCACTCGCCCTCACACACACCAGCCCGGAGCCTGGGCTGCGGAGAGGGCTCGCGGGCGCGCTCAGAAGATTGGGCAGCTGTCCGGAGTGGGGCTGGAAGCCGAGCTCTTTCTCTGGGAGGGAGGCGCCCAGGGTTTAACCCGAGCATGGGGCCCGGTGAGCGCTGAGAGTCGTGGCCGCAGCCATCAGCCCTGGAGATGACCAGGAGCGGCCACTGCTGAGAACTATGTGGAGAGAGGCTGCGGTGAGTGCTGGTGCGGGACGCGGGGCCTGGACTGCCCCTCTGGGAAGAGGACGGCGGGAGGCCTGGATAGGAGGGGGAGGCAGGACCGCAAGAGGGTCGTTGCATGGGAATGATCGCATCTCCCTGGGGACCCGGACCGCGGGAGACGAGTCCTTCCCTCCCCCTCTCCTCCTGCCGGCTCATCTCAAACTCAGCCATCCCCCCCCCTTCCCCCCATCCCCTCCTCTCCACTCCCCCTCCCCCGCCCCCCTCTCTTAGCAGCTCCTGGCCACACAACTCCCAGCAGCCGGCGCCGGGGAGGTGGTAGGGGGTGAGTGTGGAGGTGCCCAGTGAGCTTCTCGTGGGTGGCCAATCTGGGGCTCCCGTTCGCCTGTGCGCCCCAGAACAGAGCTCTCCACATGGGCCAGGGGGTCTGGGAATCTGCACTGTGGGCATCTCGGCCACGAAGCTTCGGTTTCCCCTTTCAGGTTGAGCCCCCTGTGCGCACAGAAGGGCCCTGGTCCCCTTCGCCACTCGCCCGTGGGTTGACCCTGTCTCTCTTTTTCTTCTCCGTCCTGGTAGAGCCCTGCTGCAGAGCCTCCGGCTGGGATAGCCGCCCCCCGTGGGGGCTATGCGGACAGCGCGGGACAGCCAGGGGAGCGCGCGGGGGCCGCAGCATGCGGGAACCCGCTAAACCCGGTGGCTGCTGAGGCGGCCGAGATGCTAGTGCGCGCAGCGCGCCCCACTGCATCCTCGACCTTCTCTGGCTACAGGTACGTCCCAGCGGGAGACCTGGGCTCGGCGGGTCCGGGTAGAGGAAGACTTCATCAGAGGGAGAGCGGGAGAAGAATCAGGGATGAGAGGGAGAAAGCGGGAGAGGGAGCACCAGTAGCGAGGCGCTAAAGGAGCACCAGGGGGCGCTGCGGTTCCGCGCTGCGCCCTGCTCACCGGTAGAGCGCCTAGGCCGGTGCGAGTTAGCCCCAACTTCCCCAGGCTCCAGCAGTGCCGGGCAGAAGGGGCGCGCGCTTGTGCACGCGTGCACGACAGCGCTGGTTTTACCGGCAGGCGTGGCTTTGCCCCTGGAGCGTGTGCGTTCACCACCTGAGAACGTATGTGGACTCGGGATGGCCGTGGGCACTGCTTGGGCGGCCTGCGATTGTGCGCAGAATTGCGCTGGTGCCTGTGAGGTGTGCAGCCCACCGCCCACGTGCACCTAAGACTTGGCAACGGGACCCGGAGTGGAAGGCCTGGGGAGGGGCTGTACAGTTCACGTCTGTGGGAGAGCTTCTTAAGAGCCTACTCCTTCCCCACTCCCCACGCACGTTCTCCGCCAGCTCCCACGCTCTGGCCCGCTCGGGAGGACGCGCCTCCTCTCCGGAATTCTGCATTGCACACGGCACGCGTGAGAGAGGGTGTGTGTGTGTGTGTGTGTGTGTGTGTGTGTCTGTGTGCGCGCTCATATGCGTGTGCACGCGGCTCTGTAGGGGGCGGGTGGTGGGGGGGGTTCTCAAGCAGTTGAGTGGAAACTGCTTCAAGGCCCCACTGCCCGAGGTGGGGGCGGCCCTACATCCCCGTGGGTACCTTGAAGTCCGGGACACATAAAAGGGAGCCCTCACTTCCACACGTCTGGGGTTTACTCCGCAGAGGAGGAGCAGGGTCTGCAGTGGAAGCCAGGTCCTGTCAGGTCCGTGCTGCACCCCGGGGGCTTGGAGGGGCGGGGTCAGTCAACAGCTGTGTGCTGGGTCGGGTCTGCGGAGTCCGGGAGCTGCCTCTGCTCCCAGGGCCAGTCTTGAGTTCCCAACACGTGAGCAAGGGGCGGGGCCGGTAACTCAGCCGCCCTAGCCCGCCCTGGGTGGGGGCTTCGCTCCTGCGCCTGAGGTCTAAGGGGGGGGGCGGTGGTCCGGAGCTAGCTTGGGGTCTGCCTGGGGATTCCATGTGAGACAAGGGCAGAGTCGGGAGTGGAGAAGAGGATGGAGAAGACAGGAAGTGAGGAGTCAGGATGGGAAAATGGACTTGGGGACAGAGGTGCAGAATGCGCTGGGTGTGGAGTTGTGGGTGGAGTTGGAGATAGGTGGAGAGATGTGGATGGCGTGGGGGTGGGAAAGGAGCCAGTGATTCTGGCAATTCGCGCTGGGGACGGACTCTGACCCGGCCCCAGGAGCAAGGGGCTGGGCAGGTCACCCCTGTCCTCTGGAACTCTGGCTCAAGACGGCCTTGACTCTCCCTCTCCACCTTGCAGGGACCGTAAGTGGCGACTATGGGCAGACTGGGCTATTGGACCTTGCTGGTGCTGCCGGCCCTTCTGGTCTGGCGCGGTCCGGCGCAGGGTGCGGCGGCGGAGAAGGGTCCCCCGGCGCTGAACATCGCGGTGCTGCTGGGTCACAGCCACGACGTGACAGAGCGTGAACTGCGAAACCTGTGGGGTCCGGAGCAGGGGGCGGGGCTGCCCCTGGACGTGAACGTGGTAGCGCTGCTGATGAACCGCACGGACCCCAAGAGCCTCATCACGCACGTGTGCGACCTCATGTCCGGGGCGCGCATCCACGGCCTGGTGTTTGGAGATGACACTGACCAGGAGGCCGTGGCCCAGATGCTGGATTTTATCTCCTCACAGACTTTCATCCCCATCCTGGGCATTCACGGGGGCGCATCTATGATCATGGCTGACAAGGTAAGGCCTGGCTGGGCGGCTGGGGCTCTGGCGCTGTTTCCTCATCCGTCTAGACCTGAGAAGGGGGCCTGTCCCCTGATTCTGGTGAGGACCAGGATCTGCCTCTCTAATCCTGAAATGAACAGAAATGTCTTTTGTCTTGGTTCGAAAGTGGCGTACTTGGGGGCACCTGGCTGTGCAAAGAAAAACTGGGGAAACACAGAAGTGTGACAGGTTGGTGGGAGCTGAGACTTCCTATGGGACTCTGGGGCCTGCACGCACCTGAGCGAGGGTGGTTCTCACCCCCATCATGGTCGTTTGACCTGGCTGTTTGGAGAAAATGTCTTTTCCCCCTCTTGTGATGAGCAGCTGAAACTATCTTAAAAATATGAATTATGGGTATGTTAAGAGTTAGGTAAAGCACAAAAGAGCCAAGAAATGTTTTGCTTCCAGACTGCGCCGTTAGGGGAACAGGAGTGTGAAGTTTGAGGAGCCTGGGCTGGACTGTGCAGGAGAGAGCCCCCCTTCTCTCTACTCAAGCCAGGGTAGCACCGGCTGGCATTTTGCTGCCTGCTGGGGGCGGGGAGGTGGGGAGGGCAGGGGCTGATAGCTGACAGGTGCTCCAAGGCCCTCTGATGGAGAAAGGAAAGGATTGGGATTCCCAGTGAAAGGATTGGGGCAGAAATTAGTGTCAGTAGGAGGGAGTGCCGGCATCTCTTGACTTTGGTGTGCTGGAGGGTCTTTCTGTGGAGCAGCTGGGAGCATTGGTTTGCAGGCAGGAGAGAGACTTGCAGATTTGAGGGAGAGGTTTGAGAACCTGGCCAGAGAGCAAGGAAGTGGAGGGAAGGGGGAGGGTCAGGAGCGAGCTGCAACATGAAGAATAAGATAAACGGGAAAGATTGGTGTTGTGGGCGCAGCAGGATTGCGGGGCAGGACAGCGAGGAGCGGGAGCTGGGTGCTGAGCCCACAGTCCTGAGGCTTGGGTGCACGCACCTTAGCAGGAGACATTGTAATGGGGCTGCCAGACATTTGTTACCGGTCTTCCTTTTGATGCTCTCCAAGCACGTTCTATCCATCAAATCAGATTCTGCCTCTGCTTCTGCCTCAGCGATTCCCTCCGGCGCCTTTGGGAATCGTATTAATTCTCTCAGGTCTCCTGGGCAGCAGCACATTCAGTTCAAGTTCACCATCGAGGAGGCAGCTTATTAAACATTCATTTTAAGTGGTTTGCAGCCTAGCAGAATTCCCATGTCTGGTTGAGCATTTTCCTGGCCACCTCTCCATTGGGGTGGGGGTGGGGGGTTCCTTTCTGGGATGGAGAAAGTAGGCAGCAGCTTTGCCAGACCACCCACATCGAAGCCATTTCAGAACCGGAAAGGGCCTTGCGTCTGTAGGAGCATCCTTTCACTTCCAGATGAGTGACTGACACCCACCAAGGCCGCGTGGTGGGTGATGGAGCCAACTTGTGGGTGTCCCGGGCCCGAGCTGTGAACTCACTTCCACCAAATCTAGGCTGTCCTTTCACAGTGTCATTCTCTCACTAGGAGGGACAAGAATGAATGTCATTTCTCAGGGGTGGGGCATGGACGTGTGCCTAAGGCATGACCAGCCTTCTGGGAAGGTGTCAAGAAGGTGAAGAACAGTTTCCATAGGGGACTAGGGTGTGACTTGGGGGTGTATTACTGCCTATCCCTCCACCCTTTTGAAGTTTTGACTAAAGATGCAACACACATAAAAAAGTAGCTATACTGCAAATGAAGTTTCTGGAATGACAAGGGGCCCAGCAGGAGGTGGGGGAGGGTCAGACTGGCAGGTGTGACTAGGTCCCTCCTCTAGGCTGAGCTGGCAGGTGTGTGGCTCACACCTGGCCTGACCGACCCTCCTGCTGCCCGTCGGTCGAGGGGCAGCAAGGTCAGGTGGGCTGGTGTGGAACACCCCCTTGATTTGCAGGGCCCTGCCCACTAGCGATGCCAGACAGAGACCAACTCAGCCAGCAGCCGCAGCTCCGTGGCAGGCATGTTAGAAAGGGAGTTTTGAGGAGTTGGGGGGCACTGGGTCGAAGCATTCTCTTGTCCTACAGAGGGAAACTTCCTCATGGGGATTGGACCAAAGTGTGACCCCACTAAGAGTAAGGAAGGAAAACGGAGCCAGCTCAGAGGAAGATGAGGAGAAGAACCTTTTCGTAGAAGGCAGGACTCGGGAGAGACTTGAGAGGGGATGGCGAGGAGAGGAAGCGGGGGACAACAGTCGTGACGTGGGGCTCACCAGTTGGCCTTGATGGCATAGGAGACAATGGCCTTTGGGTTGGGGCCCTACTGGACCCCGGGTGTGTGTGTGTGTGTGTGTGTGTCGGGGGGTACAGGTGATACTGAGAGGCGCTGGGCTCAGGGGTGGTACTTTGGGAAACCTGGGTGTGTCAGCAAAAGCAAACCATCCTCTGAGGTGCAGGCAGCTTCCTCGCCCCAGGAGCGCACCTCGCTGCTCCTGCTCCCTAGGAACTGAACTCTCAGTACAGTTTGTTTGGCTCTAAAGGCGCTGTCCCAGCTGTTCTGTCGGAGACTCCGCCTTGCCTAGTGGGGGTGTAGGTGGTGTTCCAGCCCCAGGGTCCAAATCTCTGAAAATAACCAAAATAACCTGGCTCCCCCTCTCCCCTAAGATGTTCATTTGGTGGAGGCTGATAGTTTGGTCCTCCTCAGAAGCATAGTAGTTAATGTGATTATCAGTTAAACTAACACACACACCCCTCAGCTTTACCTTTCCCCAGTCTACTTAAGGCCTTAGGAAAAAAGAAGAAAGCCTCATAACAATTGAAATCCGTTAAGTGACAGATTTTTGTGGTGTTAATTTAATTTACAATGGAGATGCTAATTTTTGCTTCTATCAGTGGGTGGTCCTGCAGTGTAATTAATTTCGAGCTGGAAGCAATGCTTGATGTAGGTAAAGTTCCCACCTTGGTTTGGTCATTTTGATCCCATCCAAATGAAATACCTGCCACCGCGGGAACAGACACCCATAAACTCTGCATCTGCAGACTTTCAGTTCTGCCTGGTTCCCTCCTCCCCTCCCTTCTCTTCCCTGCTCCTTGGAGGGAAAGATAAGCCTGAGAGCTGTCTGTGCCAATTCTATGCATAACTCAGCTCCTTTACTAGAGTGGAAGCTCCTGGAGGTCAGGGTTTTTGTTTTTGTTTTTAAGATTTATGTATTTATGCATACAGAACTGGGGTACAGGCCAGAGGTGCAGGGCTGTGTGAGCCTTCACCAGAGACAGAGCGGGGAGCAGAACAGGCAGATGGATGAAGTACGCTGCTGAGGGGAGCAGTGGGTGGAGAGGTCTGCCGCTCCATGTGGTCCCTCGGGGCAGGCTGGGATCGAACTCGTGCTGAGGTGGTTTCAGCTTCTTAGTGCTGCGCTTTAACCCGCTGCGCCACCAGAGAGGGCCCGGAGGTCAGGGTTTTTAAGGCATGTTTACATGTTTGTGTGCATTTGCGATATCAAATACTCATCCTCCACAGCTCATAAATGGTGTCTTTTTCATTGAAGAGCACTTAGAACGTACATTAAAGCTTATAGAAAAAGTGGAAATCTCCCTTTAAATCTGACACCAGGATTGAGCAGTGTCGGCTCTGTGGCCTACCTTGGAAGCTCTGGCGGTCAGGTTTGGGTTCAGGACTCTGCTTGTGTATGACTTTGCTGCAAGTCTTAGAAGAGTCACGGTGTTCTTTGGCCCTGAAAAATGTTACGGCCGTTTTCTCTTGGATAGTCTCTCTATCCTTTCCTTCCTTTCCTTTGGGGCTTTTTTATTATACATGCATATGTGCACGTGTATAGTTTGTCAACTATGTACATATACTTAGTTTCTAAATTAATTCTTCCTGTACCTTAACTTAAAAAAAAAAAAAACCAAAAAACCTTCCCTGTTTTCATGTGAACTTGGTTTATTATTTTGCCTATATATTGAGTTTTTAATTTCAACAGTGGTTCTGTTTATTTCCAAGATGAATAGTTGGTCCCTTTTCATCACCTTCTTTAAAATATTTATTTATGTATGCATACAAGAACTGGAGCACAGGCCAGAGGTTCAGGGGGTGAGAGGATTTACCAGGGACATAGTGGGGAGCAGAACAGGCAGATGGACTGAAGTACACTACAGAGGGGAGCAGCGGGGAGACAGGAGAGATTTGCAGTGCCCTGTGGGTCACTCCCTGGCCAGAGATTGAGCTAGCGATGCACAGTGCTGTGCTTTAACCCCTTGCGCCACCAGGGAGGGCCCTTGATGAAAAGCTTCTCTCACTGTGTGGATGTCAATCCCTCCTCCGCCTCTCAGGATTTACAAGTCACGTGTTCTGGACTCCTCTCTGGTTGTCTGACATTTTTGTTTCTTCAGGTTTGGATTCTTCCAGGTGTTGAGTCTGCTGGTGGGATGCCCTTACACATTCTCATTTTGGTTTGTGGCCTTCCTTTCTTCTGTCCTCTATCATAGCCAGAGGTCATGTGGACAAAGCTCAGCTCCGAGCTTTCCCCTTGCCCTGCACTCCGTGTGGTGGAGGCGTGGGCCCGGGCTCATCGAGGTCCGGGCGTCCTTCTCACCTGGGCCGCTGGGTGGGTGGGGCCGATGCTTCAGCCGGGTCACCACAAACGTGGTGGCCCGACCCACAGGGGCTGTTGGGACCGCAGCCCCTGAGTCTCATGCAGGTGCTCACCCGCCTGAAATCACAGTCTCATGCTATAAATTCAGATCTTTGTCGGGAGTCTCTTTTTTAAGACGGCGATTCCCTTGTTCAAATAATACATGAAACTGTATCCATGAATTCTGTCTTAGGAGCAGAGGAGGGAGGTCACCGAGTGTGTTTCCTCTGATTCT